GACATAAATTAAAATATTGTCAGTTCTAAAGTTCTAAACCAGGGGACTCCAAACTGCGGCTCAGGGGGCGGATGCGACCCTTTGCTTTTTTTTTATCTGGCCCTTGGGGCACTATTTCATCCACTGATACCAACAATGAGACATAATTACCTCTATTGACACCAACTAAGGGACACAATTCCTTTCAATGACACCAATGATGGGGCACAATTCCTCCCAATGACACTAACTGTGGGGCACAATTCTTCCCAATGAAACCAACTATGGGGCACAGTTCCTCCCACTGACGCAAACAATGGGTCGCAATTCTTCCCACTGACACCAAAAATGGGGCACTTTCCCTCTCACTGACACCAAAGATAGAGCATTGTCTATTCTCACTGACGTCAGGACATTTTCTACTCCCAATGGCCATAGTTCAGCCCCCCCTAAAGTCTAAAGTAAACAGTAAACTAGCACTTTGTTTAGAAAGTTTGGAGACCCCTGTTCTAAACCATCCCCACTCTACTATATTTTTAAACTTTCATATTAATGTATTTTTTAAAAATGATTAACAAACAATACAAATGCTGATGGGGTGTCATGGTGTAATATATAGCACATTAATTCTTAGACAGTCGCCAATGGTATTGACAATGGTACAGGCAATATAGTTATTACCAGAAATAATTATTATACACATGTAGATGAAGATTACATAGGAGTATGTAAGTGAACAGTGAGTATTACTGAAGTGTACATGGGTGTTTTTATATCCTTGAAGATGGCTACTGATGGATTCAGTGGATACTAGTATCAGCAATATGTAAGACAGATTTGTTAACCAAGTTGTGATAGGGGTAAAGGTCAAAATGTATTTATATTTTTGTCTGTGGCCCTGTTGTAAAGATTTCTTATCACTATTTGCCCTGAAGAAATCCCCCAAAAGGGACAAATTGATTTTTACACAGAGTTTTCACATCTTCTGTCTAGTACTTGCGAGAGAACCGTGTCAGGAGAGAGTGATAAAGAGTACGGTCCTGGGTTTAGTAACACTTGAAGGCTACGTTCACACAAGCTTTGTCAGCAGGCGTCAGATGTTTGGGAAGCGTTTTTAACACTTCTCAAACACCTATGAAAATTCTGCACATGACAGCACACAGCGCTGTTCACAGGGAAGCGTAGCATTGCGTCACGTTGCGTCGTGGCAAAACTGACGCCTCGTGTCGAGTCAGGAGGAGTTGAAGCCTCCCATTCAAGTCTATTGTGCCACTCCGCCTTGCAACCGCCTAGCAAAATGCCTGGCAGGCATTTGCGGTGCGGTTGCGAGGTGGTTGCAGCACGTTAATACCATTTAACTTCATTATAGCAGTTTGTGGTGCGGTTTTAACGCTTGGCAAATGACTATCAAGAGCCTCAAAACGGGCCGTTTTGGGAGAATTTGAGGAGCATTAAAAACGCTTCCCAGGCGCCTGTCTAACGCCTGTCAAATGCTATAGGGGCGCTTGGCAAGAGTTAGAAATAAAGTCAAGTGTCAACAAGCCCTAAGAGTGAAAAAAGTTAGGAAAATAATAGCTTTCCAATGATATCTATAGCAGACGATCTTGCCAAAAGTAATATATTATGGAACTGTCTTTCTTTGTATTTTTAACTTTATGTAGTTCTATTTTATGGTAAACACAGCATCAATCACTACATTTTCTACTGAAAAGGCAATGAAGAATCTTTTCATTTTTTTTTTCAAGATAGAAGACGTACTGCAGTATTTCTGAGGCTGCTTGTTTCCAGCCACGACTAAAACACATTGGTAACTTACTTGGCTTCTACTGAAAATTGGCCATATGTATTCCTGTATTACTATGGCAGAGCATTAGAACATAGGCTCCTCGGGGGCAGAGACTGATTGGAATAATTCAGTGTTCTTTGTAAATTGCAGCAGAGCACATTAGGCATTATGTAAATACAGAGAATAATAGCACTCAGGCTTTGCCTTCGTATTATGCTAAAATATCAATATTCCCCTCTGCTGAGCAAAGCGTGAGACCTTGTTGTATTAATGATTGCCATCGAATTAAGCTGTGTTTGATCATAACAAGCTTAATCGAGAACTGGCAATAATTAATGTTTATTTTACTACTTATTACCATGTGTATTCTCTGCATATTTCATAAAGACCAAATTGGCCCCTGTATAAAATCGATTGAACACGCACAAAAGCTAAATAAATGAAGTGAAAATCAAACATTGTCAAGTAATTATATAGCATCGTGGAATATATAGTCAGGCTATAAACAGCAGAACAAGGTCCAGGAATGTGAAGGGTACTTCTATAAAAAATGTTTACTTTTCAGTAGAGGGACTCCTACCTTTGCAGGCTTTTGTTTAATTATGAGGCACCAACATATTCTACAGCTCTTGACATTGTAGGTATTTATGAGCAATGTACTGGGTGGCCTGACTCCCCTTGATCATTGTGGATCACATGCCCTCCTATCACCAGGTTTTGGGAGTGCATCTTGTTTATTTTATTTATTAATCTCCCTAGCGGTCTGATTATGTCCATATTTCTGTGCTCAAAGTGGCACCTTTATTTGCATGGAAATATGTCGTTTTTTTTTTATTGTAGGCCTGTCATTTTTAGGAATAACTCACTGAAATCTGTCCAAACAAGAGTCTAATAAACATCCCTGGTAGGATAAAACTTGAAACACGAAATCATAAATTATAATTTAATAAATAATCATAAAAAATAATAATAAAAAATGTAATTCAATAATATAATCAAACCAAAAACACTGAAATGTGAAATATAGCGCCAAGTTCGCACATCACTGAGCAAAGTCGCAGAATCATTTTCAGTGTCTGATGACAAATTTCCCCACGAATCATTATCACTCAATTCTGCAAGTAGTTCTGATTTACTATCGCTGTTCTCTAGCCGGTCTAAAACCGATTTTGACCTAAAGGGACGTTTTTTGGACGCCATGGACGTTTCTCAGTTTCCAGGCAGAAAGAACAGAAAAAATGTAGGCAGGAAACAGGACAAAGCACTCGGGACAAAATGTATGTGAAATGGTTTGATACAGTAATGTTTTACTATGTGATTTTAGTGATTTTAGTGAATGTCACTATTTGTCATTTTCAAATTTCCCTCTGTTCCGTCCCCAGTACATCCCGACGCTCGCAGGGGACGACACCCAGAAGACAGATGCCAGCATCAGCTGGATTACATTGCCGGGGACACTACAGGAGGGACATCGTGGGAGCGCAGGACAAGGTAAGTGATCAAGGGATCGCGGAGCAGTACCGCATGGTAAGCCCGAGTGTAGCTCGGGGTTACCGCTTTTGGTACTGAAACTTCACCCCGAGCTACACTCAGGGAATACCGCCAGGGAGGTTAAAAGTAATTGGTTTTCTATGCTTTAGTATGGGCATTGTGCTGGATTTCTCTGTGTTCTATTAACCGCTTGCCCTCCAGAGGATTTACCCCCCTTCCTGACCAGGACATTTTTTGCGATACCGCGCTGCGCTATTTTAACTGACAATTGCCCAGTGATGCAACGCTGCACCCAAATGAAATTTATGTCCTTTTTTTCCCACAAATAGAGCTTTCTTTCGGTAGTATTTGATCACCTCTGTGTTTTTTATTTTTTTGCGAAATAAATGAAAAAATATGGACAATTTTGATAAAAAAAAACAATATTTTTGACTTTTTGCTATAAAACATACCCAGTAAAAAAAATGTAAAAAATCTAATTTCGTCATAAATTTAGGCCAAAATGTATTCTGCTACATGTCTTTGCTAAAAAAAAAATCCCAATACACGTAAATTAATTGTTGTAAGTGAAAGTTATAGTGTCTACAAATGGCGGTATAGTTACTGGAATTTTTTTTTTTTAAATACTAGTAATGGCAGCGATCAGCGACTTATAGCGGGACTGCGGCGGGCATTCTGACACTGGGTGGGAAATGACTAACTGCCACTGACATCCCATTGACACTAATACAGTGATCAGTGCTAATAAAAAGTGATCAAAGGGTTATCTGTGTGCTGTTCTACTGTGTGTGTTGTGTTTTACTAAGGAAACATACTGCTTTGCAGAGCAATACAAAGCAGCATGTCAGTGCTGACAGGGGAAAGATCTGTGTTGTTTACACACAGACCTCTCCCCTGTCACTGTTATTCGGCGATCATCCGGTGGCGGCGGGAAATCTTCGTTCGGGACCTGGTGATCGACATCTGTAGCCGCCAATGGTGGCACGGGTAGGGCAGCACGCACGCCCCCTACCCGTAAATGCAAAATCACGTATATATATATGATTATGCACAGCCTTGCCGCTCTGAAGCAGTAGTTTTGCTATAGAGCGGTGGGGAACCGGTTAATATAACATAACAATGAAGCTAAGGGTGGTAGAGCTGTGACTGCAAGAGTTTATAACCTGAAGAAATAGGAAAGCGAGTTTTCTGTTTCAAATGTGACTACATTGGCTATATTCACATACCTCCTTTAGGCCCAGTCTGTCTGGACAGTATGGTCACCTTCTGACACCATAAAAGGGAGTTTAAATCTTAACCACTTGCCTACAGGGCACTTATAGCCCTTCCTGCCCAGGCCAGTTTTCAGCTTTCAGCGCTGTCGCACTTTGAATGACAATTGCGCGATCATACAACACTGTACCCATATGACATTTTTATCATTTTTTGAGACAGATAGAGCTTTCTTTTGGTGGTATTTAATCACCTCTGAATTTTATTTTTTGCTAAACAAACCAAAAACCACTGAACATTTTTAAAAAAAAAATTTTTTCTTAGTTTTTGTTACAAAATTTTGTAAGTAAGTGATTTTTTTTCCTACACTGATGTGCGCTAATGAGGCTGCAGTGATGGGCACTGATAGGCTGCACTGATGGACACTGATAGGTGGCACTGATGGGCACTGATGAGGAGGCACTGGTAGGTGGCACTGATGGGCATTGACAGACATCACTGATGGGCACTGAAAGGCAGCACTCATATATGGCACTGATAGGTGGCACTGATAGGCGGCACTGACTGGCACTGTTAGGTGGCACTGACTGGCACTGTTAGGCGGCACTGATAGGCAGCACTGACGGGCACTGATAGGTGGCACTGATGAAAACTGATAGGTGGCACTGACTGGCACTGATAGGCGGCACTGACTGGCACCGATTGGCGGCATTGATAGGTGGCACTGACTGGCACTGATAGGTAACACTGAAAGGCAGCTCAGATGGGCACTGATGTGCCATTGATGTGCACTGGTAGGCACTGATATGTGGCATTGATGTGGCACTGATGGGCACTGGCAGGTGGCATTGATGAGCACTGACAGCTGGCATTGATGGACACTGACAGCTGGCACTGCTGGGGCTACACTGATGATCAGTGCACATGTCCCCTCTGAGTAAAGCCGATTACCCCGCTCTCCTCTCCTCTCGAGCTGTCAGCGTGACAGCTCGTGAGAAGAGAAATGCTGATAACCGGCATTTCCCTATTTACATGTGATCAGCTGTGATTGGACAGAGCTGATCACATGACCGAAGCCAACATCGGTCATGTGATCAGGGACACAGCACACCACCGATCGCCACGCTGGGCGCTCCCGGAGCCGCGCATGCACGGTTAGAATGGGAGGACGTCATATGACATCCTCCCAGAACGAGTGAATCGCCTTGCACCCATAATTACCTTATACGGCGGGTGGGAGGAGGTTAAGTTAGACATAGAAGTTAAATCCAACACAATTTTACTTCAGCTAACTAAAGTACAGAGTTTGATTTCCAATCTTTGAAATGTAAGAATACAGTGACTTTCCTAAGCTCTGCCTCTGCAAAGTACTGATGCTGACTAAGGGAACATATAAGAAACAGGAAGGGTCTAGCTAAGACTGAACTAACTAGCAATAAACAGAAGGGGAGGAAAAAGGGAGAAAATCAAGTAAACAGGTTATAGTAGTGTAGTACTACCCCCTGAAGAGTTGCTGAAGATTTGGGTCCCTCTATAGTCCTGCACAACCAAGCAACACGCATTTTTTACAGACTTGCATTTCGGAGACTGTAAACAGTTCTTGAGCTTGGTCTTTTAAGTTTTATTACGGGGGCTAAACTTGGATGAAGTTGAGGGGTGTATGTCCAAGATAATTCTCTTCTAGATAACTCTGCAGCCTCTCCTTGTGTACCAGACCCCAGATAAATCCTCTTCTTTACACAGTTGTCTGGAAGAATCCCTGGGCAAGGGGATCCAGTGGTTTCTACTTGAAAGGGTTAACAGTCCTGGGCATGGAGCTAGTCAGGTTTCCCACCAAAATACTCTCTTCCTTTAACTGGCCTAGGGGGTGTAGGATTGCTCCCTCAGTCCTTGCCTGTGAGCTGGCTGGGTTGATGACTGCCATCAGACCATCTGCTGGACTGGCTCCTTCCCTGGCTCCACAGGTGGTCCTCCCTCCAGACACCAATTAAGCTGAGCGATCCTCCTTTCCAGGTCCCGGCCTGTATGTAGGTCCCTTCCCATGGGGCCTCCTCCCAGGTTCCTGCATCTCAGCCTTCCTTATATCTTCCACCCGACCTCTCCCCTGCTGCTGAGAAGGCTCAATCATACTTAAGGGCTGCCCTGACCCATTGCCAAGCCACCTGTTCGGGAATTGGTCAGGATCCCCTAAATATGCAAATCAGCTCTTCCTCAACCCCACCCACTGCTTCTAGAATCTTTTCCAAATTCTAGGGCAGGGGGAGGTATCAAGGAATGGATCTGCAGAGCCTCTCAGCCCTGACCTAAAACTAACCCTCTGACTCAGCCCAGGCTACTATTCAGGGTTTATAGCTGAACAAAATGTAACTAGCTCCCCCTGGCTATCTAGAGGGGCACTACAGTGGTCTCAAACCACCACTAGATATCAACATACTGCAGAGCAATAACCTGATGCAGTTCAAAACAAATACATATATCCATGTGTAAGAGAACCTGTCACTTTGCCCATTAAACAGAATCTCTTACTACCCTACCTCTAGATCCACCTATATCTATCTTCACCTCACTCCTGTGACACTTTGTTTCTCTATCAGAGCCACTGCAAATATCATTTGCTTCTAAGCATTCGGGAGCATGTAAACTCCTCCCAGCATCCAGAATTATGGACGCAAATACTGTTCTAATGAACCTCGGCAAGCTTAGGGCCTGTGTACATAGGGTATACTGTATGTATCAAAACTTATTTTTTCCCTATGAAAGTCAACAGGCATGCAAAAGTAGCTTGATGAAAGGTCAGGAGGTCAAGTACAAGTCAGAAGAAGGCCCATTGCAGGTCAGAGGTACTTGTGAAAAACCTCAGAATCATCTCAAACTAATCTTAAAGGATAAGTTCACTTTTTGACAAAAAAGTAATAAATGCTAATTTTTTTGCAGGTAAAAAAATGTGCATTTATTATTTTTTGTTGCAGGGGCCTGTAAAACATTGCACCAGCGATCAACAGATCGCTGGTGTCATGCAGGTCTCCTGATGACCTGTCAGTGTATCTGCTTGCCCTAAAAATAGGTGGAACATGTAACATGTTCCCAAAGGTGAACGTATCCTTTAAATGCATGCCTAATGCACTTGAAATCATGCTGCCCTATCTACACAAGCTTAACCTCTTCATGCATGCCGGCCGCACACAAAGGTGTGGCCTTCCGGCGTCTGGGCCTTGAGAATTAAGGAAAACATATGTGCTAAGACGCTCGCCCTGCGCTCTCCCAGCACACATGTCCGGTACTCACAGAAAGGTCCCGATCTCCTCTTTTGATTGGGACCTTTCCCAATCATATAACCACTGTGACTGTGAATCACAGCAGTCACATGACCCTAAAACCCTGCCCCGCCTTCCGGTTTCTGAAACCCTTAAAGGGCTGGGAGGGGCTGGTGCCAAGGGGTTAACTAAGATAAGGAGGAGATTTTAGAGCAGCACAGTTGCTAAGTGGTTAGCACGTCTGCTTGGCAGCACTAGGGTTGTTGGTTCAAATCCCAACCATTGCACTACCTGCACAGAGGTTGCATGTTCTCTCTGTGCCTGCGTGGGTTTCCTCCCATATTCCAAAGACATGTTCAAACTGAGTTTAGGGACCTTAGATTGTATGTTCCATGATGGTTAAGAACTGATGTGAATGTGCAATATATATGTTAAGCTCTTAGTAAATTGATGGAACTGTATAAGTACCTCAAATAAATGAAAACAGGGTCAGACAGAACTTTGAGTGGCTGGGCATGGCAACCAATCGGCTTCTATCTTCTGCTTGTTCATTTAAGCTTTGAAAACAAAATATAGGTGCTGAATGGTTGCCATTCACAGCTGCTGCTCTGGTTTTGATAAATTGCCCTCAAGGTGTCTGAACACAATACAAGTCTCCATCTTTAAATAGTCATAGTATATACTGCACAGAGGGAACCCTCGTTCCACAGCAGACAGAAATAAATTATAGATGTTCACGCTAAATAATGCAGTGCATTGAGCTTTATGATCCCGGGGGGATAACAACACAGTTTGGTAAAACACTGAAATCTATTGATGGAATATCAGATACTAGGACTAGGAAATGTTACCAGGTTTTATATTCTCTCACTAGGTTGCAGACTTGGGATCATAGAGTTTTATGAATTTTAGTGTCCAGAGTGAAAAATTCAATCTTTTTTTCTAGTTAAAATAAAAAGTTGTATCCCTCCCCAGTGCTGTCCTTGTGATCTTTACCTTTCACTTTTTTGGTGCCCGGGCAAGTCCCTTAGCAGGTTAATGACATGTTCTATTATCTGCACTTTTCCACCAGGGACAGCTCTGATATCACCCATCCTTTCCTCCTTTCCAGTAATGTAAAGAGTGTAGTTAAAGAGTGTAGGATAGAGCAAGAGGGTGACCATAGTATTTGCGAGGGAACAGGGTCCAAAGCGCAGGTGGTTAGGTGGGAGTTAGAAAAAAGTTTAGTGACTCCCTCTATAGTAGCTGGGTTTAAACAAGGGAATCATTGATTGTGCAGGTGAATAAGGAGTGTAAGATGAGGGAGATACAGTATCTGTACAGTGCAGATCTCGTCACGAATTATATCAATCCTATATAGGTGATTAGCGATCTCCTGGGCAGTGAGTGAGTTAGTGGGTGGAGGTAAAGAAAGACGAAGTAGAGAGTTAAAGGTAGAAGAAAGTTGACAGGGACTGCGTGAGAGGGTGTTAATCAGAGTGATAAAAGAGGTCTGTTTTGCAGCATGGAGACAGGAATTGTATTTTTGGAGTGTAGATTTATATTGGTTGAAGTCTTACGGGGACTTAGTCTTACGCCACAGAGCATGGCTACGTTTTTGAGGCATCTGGTATTGTTTGTTTGCCAGGGTTGTGGCAGTTGGGGACTGATTCTGTGTGTAGTGAGGGGGACCAATGTGTCCAGGGTGGATGACAGTGAACTGTTGTAGACAGAAATGGCCAGTTTTGGGCAGGACAAGTCTGAGATTTTGTCATAGAGAAAAATGAAGAGAAGGATTACCGTATTTTTTCGCTCCATAAGACGCACTTTTTTTTCGCTCCATGCGCAGTGGGCACCCGGCTGTCACAGAAGCCAGAGCGGGAAGACTGTGCAGCGCTGGGAGCGAGGAACAGGTAAGGCCCTGCAGGAGAGAACAGCTGAGCGGGGGGAAAATGTCAAAAAAGGGGGGGGGAAAATGTCAGTGCGTCTTATGGAGCGAATATAAAGCGGCCGGTCCGGTATTTTTGCGGCCACCATGTCAGAATACCGGGCCGGCCGCTCAGCTGTTCTCTCCTGCAGGCCTTACCTGTTCCTCGCTCCAGCGCTGCACAGTCTTCCCGCTCTGGCTTCTGTGACAGCCGGGTGCCCACTGCGCATGTGCTGCGCTTTGTGAATGATCCGGTGTCTTCCGGGACACATGAAAGGTCCCAGAAGGCGCCAGGCCATTCACAAAGCGCAGCGCTTCTCGCACATGCGCAGTGGGCACCCAGCTGTCACAGAAGCCGGCCCGGGAAGAAGAGGGAAGGCAACTCCACGGAAGTGGGAGCGGGTACCTGTCAAATTCAGGTACCCGCTCCCCCAGCATTATCATCCCTCCCCAAAGGTCCGCAGTCTCTGGTCATTCCCTTCACTGTCTGCAGTCTCTGGTCATTCCCTGCACTGTCCGCAGTCTCTGGTCATCCCTGTACTGTCCACAGTCTAGTCTGGTCATCCCCGTACTGTCCGCAGTCTCTGGTCATCTCCTGCACTGTGTCCCTGCAGTCTCATGGTCATCTCCTGCACTGTGTCCGCAGTCTCTTGTCATCTCCTGTACTATGTCCGCAGTCTCTTGTCATCTCCTGCACTGTGTCCGCAAGTCTCTGGTCATCTCCTGCACTGTGTCTGCAGTCTCTGGTCATCCCCTGCATTGTGTCCGCAGTCTCTGGTCATCTCCTGCACTGTGTCCGCAGTCTCTTGGTCATCCCCCAGGTAGCTGCACTGTGTCCGCAGTCTCTGGTCATCCCCTGTACTATGTCCGCAGTCTCTTGGTCATCCCCTGTACTTTGTCCGCAGTCTCTGGTCATCTCCTGTACTATTATGTCCACAGTCTCTTGGTCATCCCCTGTACTATGTCTGCAGTCTCTGGTCATCTCCTGTACTATGTCTGCAGTCTCTGGTCATCTCCTGTACTGTCCGCAGTCTCTGGTCATCTCCTGTACTGTCCGCAGTCTCTGGTCATCTCCTGTACTGTGTCCGCAGTCTCTGGTCATCTCCTGTACTGTGTCCGCAGTCTCTGGTCATCCCCTGTACTGTGTCTGCAGTCCATTGGTTCAGAATATTTTTTTTATCTTGTTTTTCACCTATAAAACCTAGGTGCGTCTTATGGTCAGGTGCGTCTTATGGAGCGAAAAATACGGTAAGATGGGAAAGGTTTCTACAGTGAGAGTGAAGCTAATTAAGTAGTTATTAGAGGAGAGGAAAAGGAATGTTGGAGAGGTTGCAAGGAGTACATAGGTAGAAGAATACAAGGTCAAGGCAGTTGCCATCAGAGTGAGTAGAAGCATGTGTGTCATTGTTTTAGGTCAAAAGAGGAGGTTAGGCTCAGAAGTTTAAAAGCAGCAGGAGTGTTAAGATTAACAGGGATGTTGAAGTCACCAAGAAATATTGTGTGAGTTTCAGAAGAGAGAAACTAGGATAGCCAGGCAGAGAAATCATCAAAAGCTTGATACCGTTCCAGGAGGTCCATAGATCACAGCAATTCTTAAAGAAACTGGAGAGAATAGACAAATACAGTGAAGAGAGGAAAAGAGCGGGAGGTGACTGAAGGACCTTAAAAGTGCTTTGAGGGGATAGGAGGATTCCAACTGCACCTCCCTTCCATCCACTAGGCCTGGGAGAGTGAGTCCAGAGGAGGAGGCCACCATGGCAGAGGGCAGCAGGAGAAGGAAAGTTAGATGCGTGAAGCCAGGTTTCCGTAATTGCAAGTACGATAAAGGAGTGTGTGATGAAAATGTCATGGGCAGAGGTGAGTTTGTTACGGATAGAGTGGGCATTTCAAAGGGCCCAGGAAAAAGGGAGGGCTGGTTTTAGGAAGAAGAGGAATAGAAACCAGATTGTGTGTCAGCCAAAATTTGCTGATAAAAACAATATCATTACTAGTAAACAGCATGGCTTTACGAAAGGTCGTATTTGCCAAACCAACCCATTTGACATTCTATGTGGAAGTAAGCTTCCATCTAGATAAAGGAGGGGCGGTTGATGTTATGTACCTGGATTTTGCAAAACCATTCAATATATAGTGCCTTGAAAAAGTATTCATACCCCTCGAAAATTTCCGCATTTTGTCATGTTACAAACCAAAATGTAAATGTATTTTATTTGGGATTTTATGTGATAAACCAACACAAAGTGGCACATAATTCTGAAGTGGAAGGAAAATGATAAACGGTTTTTAAAATATTTTTCAAAATAAATATCTGAAAAGTGTGAACACTGGTGGAGCAAATGCCTAGTGTGCCCTGTGGCCAGTCTGGGCCTGTATGCAACCTGTTGTTGGGTGGCTTTTACGCTGAGCAGCTGCATATACACGTCCCAATATAAACACTTTATTGTACTGAGAGCGTGTTCCCGGCACAGTAATGAACCAGTACCGGATAGTCCTGAGGCATGATTAGGGCATAACAGATGTACTCAATTCCTTGTCATCAAGACAGCTATGCCTCCCCCTGTACTTCTCTTACCACGCATACCTAAATAAACAGACCAATTACTCTTTTTAACAGAAATATAATAACAACAACGATAACCAAGGTTGCTGATCCTTGGAGGCACTAATGAACCAACAACAGATTTTATCTGCAGAACCACTTAAAGGTCCCCAGCCAGTTTGAGGACAATCCCAGCTCTCTGCCGACACCTCAATTTCCACAGCTTCCCGGTTAACCGACCATTAACTGGGATTAAATAGAGGACATCATACTATAGATGGGTCCTTACTCTGATGTAACATAGTGAATTTTGAATGTCTCCAAAGGCCCCAACCACCAGGCCACTGTGAACAACAACAAGTCCAACCATTAAGCAGGCGGGAGGGTGTGACATTTCTTCTTCATCTGTTGCAATGAACTGCTTGCTGATTTAAAAAATCCCACCGTGACACTCTTGCAGCTCTTCCAGGTACATTCAAGCACACCAATCCAGGTACGTAACATTATATTTCCTGATCCTTATCTATTTAATCAGTTTATCTGTTTAACCCTTTAGCTCCTAGACTCCCCTGTTTGCTCAGTCATGTCTGCCCTTTGCCTGTTTTTTTTAATTTGCTTCTGTTTTATCTTACTTGTGATTTGGAGCTTTCCGATCATGTGACCGCTGTGACTACCAGTCACATGGTTGAAATGCACGTTTCCGCCTCCCGGCATTAAAGGGCCAGAAAGCAGTGGTGGCAAGAAGGCATTAAAAACATACAGTGAATGATAACTGTCACATTTTCTTGTGCATGCAACCAAATTGACAAGTCCTCAAATGGCTGGTGTCTTAACCGATCACATGTGCAGCACCATGGGAATTTCAAATCAAACAGAGGCTAAGATGGTAGTTTCCTAGACCGTAATGGATAGGTGGTTAAATTCCGCTTTAACTTTTCTCCAAAACAGTTACATTCAAGGCATGCTGTGAATGATACCAAATTAAAAAAAAAAAAAAAGCGCCATTTACAAAAAACACCAAAGTGTCAGCAGCATATCCCACCCAAAATAAATTTTGGCAACAATAATCCTAATTAAAAGGTATGCACTAATAACAAACTTATACAAAGGTGTATATCATCATCCAAAAAAAAAACATTTAGTGTTTTAAATAAATAATTATAGTGTCCAAACATAAATTAGTGTCCAAAAAAAAATATATATTAGTGTCCAAAAAAATATATATATATCTTCAGTGACGTGACAATGACCAATTGTGAAAAATCCACCACCAAAGGAGATTAAATGAACTCACCAGAGCTAATGGCTGGTCAGATTATAAACCAGCAACAGCGATTGTGCTCTGGGAGCAATGAACCTGATGTCCAAATAGATATGGTGATGTTTCAGACACTTCCGGATAATAACAATCACAGACAAACAACTTTGCAGCCCAAGCTCTTACGATGAACTTCTCCACTCTCTCATATCTCCATGAGAGCATGCAGTACACTCAGGGACAAAAAAGAGAACATAATGGTGCAATACGTTTTTTTCCATTTATCTCTTTAATAAAAAAGGTATAAGGAAACTCACAAGCAAGGTGTCCAACAGACACCAGCTTCAATCGCAAAAAAAGGTGAGATACAATTGATGACGTCGGTGTGACGAAACCGGTTGGGCGTGGCCTACTCGATGTGGACGTTAGAGAGCCTTGCTGTTCTGTGCTGTATGGGAGAGATCCGCGGTGAGCGGTAATTGTATCTCACCTTTTTTTGCGATTGAAGCTGGTGTCTGTTGGACACCTTGTTTGTGAGTTTCCTTATACCTTTTTTATTAAAGAGATAAATGAAAAAAACGTATTGCACCATTATGTTCTCTTTTTTGTCCCTGAGTGTACTGCATGCTCTCATGGAGATATGAGGAAGTGGAGAAGTTCATCATAAGAGCTTGGGCTGCAAAGTTGTTTGTCTGTGATTATTATTATCCGGAAGTGTCTGAAACATCACCATATCTATTTGGACATCGGGTTCATTGCTCCCAGAGCACAAACGCTGTTGCTGGTTTATAATCTGACCAGCCATTAGCTCTGGTGAGTTCATTTAATCTCCTTTGGTGGTGGATTTTTCACAATTGGTTCAAGTCACTGAAGATATATATTTTTTTTTTGGACACTAATATATATATATTTTTTTTGGACACTAATTTATGTTTGGACACTATAACTATTTAAAACACTAAATGTTTTTTTTTTTGGATGATGATATACACCTTTGTATAAGTTTGTTATTGAATGCTGTGAATGATAACTGTCACAGTTGCCTGTGCACTCAGCCGAATTGGCAAGTCTTCAAATGGTTGGTGTCTTAACTGATTACATGTGCAGCACCATGGCAACTGTAGATCAAACTGAGTTTAATATGGCAGCTTCCTTGGCTGTAAAAGATCGGAGGGTTTTGTTCCACTTTAAGATGATATTGAAAAAATCTACAGCAAACACAAAAAGAAAACTCAAAGTTTCGTCCTCTTCTAATATGCTAAATCACATTTTGTCAATAAAGCTACTGAGGTGTATGTATAATTTTAATAATTGCCATAGCAACTGATGAATTTGCAGTAAATATGTTGTTACCAGGACAACACATGGGATTCCTGAAAGCTAAACTTAGCCATAACAGGCCTTATCTTTGGCAGTTTATGTAATAGATAAGGCTTTGAGTTACACAGCATGCAGCTAGAGGGGTCCTCACTAGACACATATTACTGGTGATACAGCAGTGTTGCCCATGGAATTACTTCTAACAAATCACTGGCAACCCAATCCCCTGGGAAAGCCTAATAAGCCCAAACATCCTGGCTTGGCCACAAGTGAGCTAATTACAGCAAATGCCATCAGTCTGACTGATTCCCTGGACTTCCACAAAATATATCCATACGGTTTTACTGCTGCGCTGTGACCAGGTTGACAAACTTCCTTCCACTAAGAGAATTTGACAAGGCAAATACAGTGTATGAGTTTTTAAAAGTAGTGCTCCTGGCTTGAGAAAGAACTGGTACTGGTCTGAAGTGAAATGAATTGTATTCTTATCTGCTTCTGATATCTGTGTTTTTAAACAGCTAACTTATTCTTCTGGATTCCGAGTCCCACTTGTAAAAAATAGAAGTAAAGAATAGAAGATAGTCAGTAGATGCCATACTTTGTCTAATGGACCTATACAATTGGCAGCTATGACATTTTAAGGAGAGGGAACAGCAGGGGCGTCCCTAGGGTTGGTGTCAACCGGTGCGGTAACACTTGGTGACACTCCCTCTGACGATCCCCGCAGAATGGATCGGATCTGCGGATTGAGCATAATGGATCGGAGTCCGATCCATTATCCTCCCCAATCCACAGATATGATCCATCCTGTGGGGATCGTCGGTATGCAACCTATACGGGGTTAACTGATCTCTCCACGAAAAGGTACATTTTAAAGCAAGCTGAAGATCCCCACAGACTGGATTGGACCTGAAGATTGGGGAGCATAATGGATTGGACTCCGATCCATTATGCTCAATCTGCAGATCCAATCCATCCTGCGGGGATCGTCGGCTTGCTTTACAACT